TAGCTGAAGCTACATTCTGTTTACAAACTTACTGTAGCATGTGCCAGATTTTTTTAAGCTGTGTCTCCCCTTATAGGCTCCACACTGCACAGACAGGGACCCTCGGTTCAAAATGGCCCCACAACAGAGGAGCTGGACCTTCACAGAAGGTAATCCATTACACTCATTTGTTTGTAAGTTCAATGTAGATATCATCAGGGTCTAAAGCAATGTAATGACTCGTCTGTGAGCTTCAGTGGGTTTTATAATGACACTGGTATGCCAGTGATGCCATGAATGTGACTTGTCTGTACAGCCAAAAAAAGTATTTTATTTATGGTACATGATACAATGACATAAAATTATCAGATTATGACTGTATATATGTGCTTCTGCTAGTGGTAGTGGGCCAAAGTCCAGAGTCAACAGAGTGTTAAAAAGAATATGCCTATTTAGGTGGAGAACATGGTCCACTTGGGCTAGTGGTCATTTCCCCAATCTTCTTCCCCATCTTTTCTGTGCCCCTCAACTCTTTATCAACTAGAGATGCTCGACTGACCAAAGACGGAGATATATCCCCCTCACTGGAACCAAGGGGAGATGCTAAAAGTGATGTCTCTTTCTATGGTCAACTCCTGACTAATTTCAGAGCCCAAAAGTTTAAACTGAGTTTATAAGCAGTGTTTACTTGCTTTTTGTTTTAAGCATGTGCTTTAAAATTTTATCTTTTAACCAATGTAACTTATATCTGACCTCAGAGATGTATGAGACAAGCTACTTTCTAAGCACTGCAATATTGGATGCCTTTTTAGCCTAATATGGCAAATTATGTAAGATGGTTTATGGTGTGGAGCAAATGCAATGGTGCATAGTTACAAATCTTTAGTCTTATCTATTCTGTGGAATCAACAGAGGAAATGTATATGAAGGTGATGGGAAGTGCTTTAAAATGCTGATAAAGGCACCGCACACAGACACTCCTCCCTAGGTTCCAATGTGCCTTAAGTGTGCAAAAATGGTGCCTCCCAGCCTGAATTTCTGAAATCCTAAACCATTGGCTATGCATGCTGCTGGCTCAGCTCTGACCTGCCTGGGGTTTTTTGAACCGAAACACTCTCCTGGTTGTTGCCAAAAGCAGGACGAACATACAGTATATGTATGTGGTGGTACAGCCTGTGTCACCGCCTACGCTTGCCTAGCAACAGTTTCCTTGGCAACATTTGTCAAGACCCAAGTGCGACACCAGCTGAACAGTAGATCAGGAGGTGTTTTACTGTGGGACAAATCCTGATGGAAATCCTGTTTAGAGCTAGCTCTGTTATGAAAACCATTATCTCATGTTGACCTAGACAAAAAGGAATGAGAAATGTAACTTGAGATTGACCAGTGCTCAGCAGAACAAGTTATGTGATTGAACTCAAGTAAGAAAAGTTGTATTCATGCTTGATGCTGAATGGTGCATTAACCCTATACCCTGTACTCCTTTTACCATCTGTAAACCATATTCAGCCTGCTCTGTGAAGTTAGCAGCAGCTAAAACTGGGAACATTCCATAAAAGGAACTAGCAAGAACCAAATTTAGTGTGAACATGACAAGGACAAAAAAGGAAAGGTGTTCAAATGCAGCATTTGGCCTAAATGAGGCTTACTTCACTGTACAGGAATGTTCTGTTGGGAATGTTAGCGGAGACAAACCACTTCCATCCACACACCTCAGCCACGAATCTTGCTATTTTTAGCCAATGTAGACACTTTGCATTCCTCAGGCAGCCGATCATGAAATTCCTGAAGTGTGTATGATATTTACATTTAGGGGGAGGTTCATATTGTTAATGGATGATTATTAGCATTATATGTGATTTGTTGTTTTGTCTGTAATTTAGATTAGATTCTTTAGTGCTGCAGTTGAACAAATGTATATTTACCTTGACACTCTGCATGTGTAGTTTCTCTACACTGTCAGACCACCAGTTTTGGATGGAGGAAATAGAGCTTCCTATTGTACATAGCTGGTGTATAATGCATGAGGCTAATGTATTATTGCTTAGTAATATACTTACTCATACTTACTAAGTATGAGCTATCTAATATACTTACTTACTAAGTATGAGCCATCTAATAGCCTATTAGAAATGCAGGTTGACTGTGCCCTGCTGAATGAGCAAAGAGCTAAGGCAGCGTGGGAACTAGGACAGAGGAGGGATTTCCTCTCCATCAGTGTGATCTGTCTGTCTGTGACTATTGGCTGGAACCTCCAATCCAGAGCATAGTGTTTCTCTGTTCCAGATCTTGGCCTGCGTCACTGCTAACTCTGCAGACTCAATGGCAGTGTTCTCTCTGTTTGACACTTCCTATACTCTCAGTTAAGCACCACCAAAATGTAGAAGTGATTCACAGCAACTCTTTGGTTTTCTCTGGAAAGTCCAGCAAATAGATATATTTTGGTAGACTTGTGATTCTTTGAAATATGAATTGGCCTATAAAGTGAGAGCAGGGAGCTTGGAAACATGAATGAAGGTGTGAGTGCTGCTGCTGATCTGTCTGCTTTATGTTGTAGGTAATAAATAGAAACACTTGTTAGCTTTTTTGCATATTTGTTTTCTTCAGTTCACGTTTTCTGTCTTACAGTGACATCTAGTGGCTAATTTGAAAGTGTTTTGTCAATAAATGTCATGGTTTGTCACATATTCAAACCAAAACGTTATATTATGTATTATTGTTATGAAATGAAACATTAAAGGTTTTTAAATTGAACATTTCTTCAAAAATAATGTTGCTAGCATGTGATGCATGATGATACATTTAGAAATTATATAAGATTATTTTGATTAAATAAACACTTGCATTGCTCTTCCAGGCAACTTCAGGAGCTACAGAGACAGAAGGAGTTGGAACAGGAACGTGAAAGGCAAGAACGTGAACGGCAGGAACGGGAGCGCCAAGAACGGGAGCGCCAAGAACGGGAACGCCAAGAACGAGAGCGGCAAGAACGAGAACGCCAAGAACGGGAGCGCCAAGAGCGGGAGAGGCAGGAAATGGAACGCCTGGAGCGAGAACGTCAAGAGCAGGAACATGTGGAGCAGAGAGAAGTGCAAGAGCAAAGGGACACACTGGAGCAGAGAGAGGTTGAAGTGATGGAGCGAGAGAGCGAGCAGTCTGAGAGAGAGCAGCTCGACTGGGATGGAGGGAGACGCTCCTCCAACACAGGTGAGCACACTCTACTCCCATGCAAGCACGTGAAACATGGCACACCTGTACTGGCTCATCAGACTCACACAAATCTTACTGAAGCTAAATGCAATCTAGTCTGTCTCAACTATGTCTAACTTCTGCTAACCAATTCCTCACTGAAACAAAAACATATATAGTTTGAAGGAGAGATTTTAAAGCAAAGATTGGTATGTAAATGTACTAAACATTTGGCTCTGCAAACTGGAGTTTACACAATGACCAGGAGAGGGTGTTGTGCAGGAGCATATTTGCCATGTTCTGGAGTGGGTCAGTGGGGAAAAGCCCAGCTATTAGTGTATGCATGCAACACATGCTCAGGCTGGTGCAATTCAGAGACTAAATATAGCTCATGAACTTGTCAATGTGTGCATGCACTGGCCTGCTCTACCAACTACCAACTTCCACCAATGTTTTATTTCTTCTGTTGTTGTGTTGTTGTTGACTTTATGCACAGATTCGCAATCTGTGCATAAAGTCAAGCACATCAATGAGTCAAAAATAACTTTAAATATAACAGTACATTGAAAACAAACAATTTTCCTAAGCAGTGATTGCTGCTGATTAAATTGTTGAAGTTGGTTTAGCTGAGTCAAACTGGAAAAGACTATATGGGGCTCAATATCAGTTAGCAACTGAGGTGTCCAAAGATGATCACACTGGCACGTCTGGGATGGGAGCATTTATTTTAACTGTGATTTTATTACTTTTAATTTAAATGTTGCACATAACTATTAGTAATTATATCTGAAATTGACATAAGGGTAACTCAATAACATTTTTCCTGTATCAGTGCCTATTGTCCAGGCCAAACTGACAGAGGGTGCGTTTCAAGGGGGTGCAAAGACATTGCCGTTCCATTATTTAACCTGCCTAAAATGAGGGTACAGGCTACTTAAAACAAGGTTGCAATGCACCCTTTGCATCCCTGTAAACCCAGGCCTGGTTTATTAGGTATTGCAAAAAACCTCACAATGCAGTTTGTATAGGATATTGATACAAGTATTGTATATCTCGAATAAAAGGGCATTAAAGCTTACTAAACGGATGCTATATTGTGCTGAATAACAAAATGCATTGAACATTTACTGTCACAATCGCAGAACACAATTGGGAATAAGTCATTTAACAAGTACTACCCGATTGTCTATTGCTTTTTCTGCAGACATTTGGTGTGTGATTAAGTAAAGAAACAAGGGGTTGTTTCTCCAACCTCTAATTTTGGGCATATTTGGAGTTTATTAAATGGTGAATTGTGTTTCTGCCGCTTGTCTCAGCCTGTGTGTTGACAGATGTGCTGCTCAAGATGCTCTATAGCTAACTTGTCCACTAACTTCTACTAAACATACACACAATCTGTAACAGACCTTGGTCGAGCTGTGCTGGTTCTTCCTGCTTCATCTGCACCCTTCTCTTCTTTTTCCTTCCTTCACACCCATCTCTCCTCTATCATAACCTGCTGTTTTATCCTACCGTGTGCACTGTGCTTGCTTTCTTTGTCTCCTCTCTTCCTTGTTCCTCACTTCCTTCCCTATCTGTTCTTGTTTTGTCCACCCTTGCCACATGTAGCCCTTGAAAGCACCGCATACACTCCCACTCCTCAGGAATTCAGCCAGATGTCTATACCATCCTCTCCCCCTGCGCCAGCGTACCCTAGCGCAGGTGCTCCTTCTCTAGTCACTCCCCCCACGCCCCCGCTCAGACACTCTGCTTCTCGATTCGCCACGTCTCTCGGGTCGGCCTTCCATCCGGTCCTGCCTCACTACGCCACTGTCCCCAGGCGTCAACAGGGGGACATACCTCCAGTACCCACACCTACAGTCCCTCCACCAAAGTCCTCCGTGTGGTCTTCCTGTAGTTTCACCCCTTTGCCTCCCTCACCCCCCATCATGATTAGCAGTCCGCCTGGGAAAGCAACAGGTCCTAGGCCACTCATACCAATCGCTTCCCCATCTCCTCTCACTCATAGGCCTCCTTCACCCTCCCCAAACGGTGCCCCTGCATACCCTGCGCCCTCCCCAGTTACTGTGCTTCACAGCCACACTCCCATGGGTCCTAGCTGCCCAACCCCACCACCACCCACCCCGCCACCCATTCATCCCTTGCCGTTCCCCTCGTCCTTCTCGTCTGCCCCCTCCTCACCGCAGGCTCCTGGTTTGCCCTCTGCCTCCACAGCGCCCTCTGCTGCAGCTGCGGAGTACTTGTCCTCAGGCTTGACAGGAGACATCGGCCCTGACACCCTGCCTCGAGGGCCCTCCTCAAAGCCCCAGGGTAAGAGCTCCAATTACTTCACTGACTCCGTGAATCCACATGTGTACCATGCCCTCCATATGTGTTGGCACCCTTGCCAAATAGAGTATAAGGAAGGTTGATGAAATGGCAAGATAATGTTCAGACAAAACAATAGGGTTAGGTTTGCATTGCCTTCCAAGTGAGTCACTTTTTTTAATTAGTGATGAGAAAATATTTCACTGTACTGTTGAATACCAATGCAATATTAGCATTTAAGGAAACCAGTGTTATGAAGAAGTCTGGAAAAAGGCTGATTCATTTATCTTGTCCGGGTGCACACTAGGATGGTTTCAGTGACCCAAAAGTCTTCCTTAATCTTTGATTGAGAACTTGATGTTAGTTGTGTCTTATAGTCAGAATGTCAACAAGCCTACAGCACAATATCACTAAATAATTAATCAAGGGGTGCCATAATTATTGAAGGGTACTGTACACTATTCAGCAGACTGGTCTTAACACAATTACAAAAAAATACCAGAATTCTGAATTAAAAGTCTTTGAAGTCAGGGGTTATCTTGTGAATGGCTAATATCAGGGCTTGTGTCGACCAAGGTCTATTTCCATCTGCTGCACACTGTTCACACCTAGACTGTATCAACTGCAGAAGTATAGTATAAATGGGGGCATTTAAAATTTAGATTGCAGCATTTTGTGAGTATAATATAAACACTGATGAGCAAGTTATCTATTGATAAATATACAACTATTTAGATCTCATTGAAAGATCCTTTGAGCTTATAGTGAGGTCTGATTTTATTAGTGTGCTGTTCCCTATGAGAGATGACATGTGGCACAACTGTCGAGCTATCGTGGGCTCACTAACATGAACGCTGCATGCATTTCTCTGCTTACTGCTCAAGTGGCTGGCTCTACATCAGATGAGAACTGAGCATGATTGTATTTTGCAACATCTAATAATGATTAGTGGTCACTGAAGTGAAAGATTGTGATTGTGAAAGATGACCTAGTCTCCAGTATATTAAAAGCAAAGTCCTTTAAAGCCTTAGTAGGTAACTTTCTTGCCAAAAAATAGACCAAAATAAAAGCATGTTTTTTTTTTTTTCTTCTTCTATTAAATTTCACTGAAAAATAAAGAAAAACATGTGTCCTAACTGTCGGTGGGCTTGCATCTCCACAAACCTGATTTGACCTGGAGGAGGACCTCCTCCTACTCATTTAAAACTTATCTCTCTCTGTGGACTATGGTAACTGAAACTTTCCACCTACAGAAAGTTGCATACTGTCAAAAAAATGTGTTTGATTTTCTTCATTCATAGTTTGAGTTAAGTTTGAACTGTAATGAGATAAAAATTGCTTAATCATTTGTGAATTAAGTCTATTTAGGACTGTGTGATCTTTGGACAACTCCAGAAGCATTAATATTTGAGAGAAAACTGCAGGCATTATTTGTATTGTACAGCACAAAGTGACTTTCATTTGAACATCAGAGACTGCTTTTCTCTGGGCTGTCTGTATCATTCAAATAAAAATTCTTATCTTGTTACCCTCTGTCTTCCTCATCACTCTTCTTCAGACTCCACCCCTGGGCCGAGTGCACCCACTCCCCCGCCACCTCCGCCCTTGCCACCCGGCTCCACTGTGACTAGCCCTGTGACTCCCACAGTTCCACCAGGACAACCTCCTCCACCACCACCTCCACCGCTGCCCCTGACCCTAACCCCAGGGGGGACTTCACTTACATCAGGCCCCCATCCTCCACCAGGAGCGCCACCTCCTCCCCCTGCCCCTCCTCTGCCCGCTGGGCTCTTCAGTCCAGCAGAGGACCGCCCTCTTTCAGGACTAGCTGCTGCTCTTGCTGGAGCCAAGCTGCGAAAAGTGCCACGGGTGAGTACATAATACAGAGTTGTGACTATAGCCACCATGGGCATTGTGCGGGCCTCAGGCATTCGGCTCTTTCCCTGTTTTAGCCTTTAGATTTATTTATTTTTTGTTTCCTGACCATTTGTTACACCAGTGACAGTGCTGGTCTAGCCCCTCTGTCACATTTCAATTGTAATTATATCCTTTCTACACCCTCTTCTCTGACCAGAGTGATGATCCAGCTTCAGCTTTGGTAGCCACCTTGACAGGTGCCAAAACTGAGTCAAGAGGGAATGGGCACTTACCTGGAGGTGGCGGTCTGATGGAAGAGATGAGCGCCTTGCTAGCTAGAAGGTACTTATTGTATTTCAGTATAATTTAAGAATATGTCAAGGTTTAATGGAATGCCGTAAATTTTTACCTTTTTTTTTTACAGAAGAAGAATTGCAGAAAAGGGCTCGTCGCCTGAACCCGACCAGAGATCAGTAAGCTTTGGACAAAGTGGGGCCTTGTATATGTGTTAGCTTCCTCTTGGTGGTCCTCTCCTATTGGCCTCTCCATATTTCATTGTGCATTGTTTGACACCTTCTTGTCAGTAATGACAGTTATGTATAAATTGGCCATCAATGCACTGCAACTTTTTACAAACATTATTTAACAGTTACAATGCAAGGGCCTTCAAGCTCATATATAAAGCTAAGCTTTAGCTAATACAAAGTCCAAAATCTTTTCACCTGGAAAGTCTCTGAGTCATGTGTTCTTTTATTTGTCTGACCAACAGGATGAGGGCGACTCAAACACAACACCGAAAGTGTCTGCTTGTAGCACTCCAGGTGAGCCCTGAAATCCAGAATCTTCACCCACCCCAAAATCCTAATCCACGTCATAGAGTGGCTTCAGTTGGCACTAGATTTAGTTTTTTTTACTTAACTATGAATTTGGTGTTCACTGCTTCACTGCTCATTCACCAAGCACTGGACCATGGGCCCATGTAAGAGGCAATCAGCTGATCACCAAATTATTTACATGAGTAAATAGTGCGCTGTGAGAGTGGGCCTGAGGTCTTCCACTCTGCAAGCGGCTGTTTAGAACACACCAAAGTGGCTGCTGGTTTCACACTGGCCCAAGTGCATCTGAATATAAAACTCTTAAGACCCTTAGAAATGATGAAAAATGTTGTTCCTAATCAGATCCTTCCCTAAGATAATACATGTAGTTGTTAAAACTAATCCTGTTTTGCTTTGTGTCCAGATATGCCCAGGAAGCCATGGGAAAGAGCAAACACCATGAACGGTAGCAAATCTCCAGTAATTGGAAGGTAAGAAATCCTTTGTTGGTTGTACATGCTTATTGCAGATATTTTGTTTGTATTAAAGTGGGAAGTCCACTCATGCTGTCACCCTTTGCACACGCGTCTATCAGCTGTCCTCAGTGTCCGCCCAACGAGACTCGTCTTGAAACTGCATTATCACTGTCGAGCCAGAGGAGATGATAAGGCCCGATGTCAGCACTCAACTAGACCCACAACATGTCATAATGATTGTATAAACCCACACATTATTTAAATTAGTTTTAGATTGGAGGGAGAAAATTCAGCTTTACCCCTTATTAGATTTATGTGTTGCAATAATAAAAAAGTTTGTTGCAAGCAGATATGTAGCAATATATACATGTAATACTCTGGGAGTATTAACAATATTGACCACTTGGTGGCAGTGTTCAATGGCAAAGCTCATGCTTCTAGTGTTTGAACCACATAGCATATAACTAAGCTGACAGGGTAGTGATAATGATTTATCATTTATTTTCAGTATCAATTCAGCAAATGTATTGCGGCAATGGTAAATTACTTAGATTTAGATGTAAACTTAGGCATACTTTATTGATCCATACGGGAAATTGTTTTCATCAAATCAAGTGCATTACTTACTCTTCAGAGTAGTTTACAGACTACGTACATTTATTCTACTTGTGTATTATATATTTCAATATATTTGTGTTATAGTATAGTATATTTGAGTTTTTCTTATTTCTTTCTACTTTTAAAATAACACATTTTGTGAGTATAATGTTTTGTCCTCCCAATTTCAGTCATTTCAAATTACAAATAAAATTACATCCAGACCATTACTCTTAGTTATGCTTGAGTAGTAGTTTGTCCAAATACTTTTTTACGCTTACTTGAGGAATTTCCTTGGACCACTACTTTGTTCTTATTTTGTTTTTGCTCTACTTTGAAATACTTATGATTGACTTGCTCTGCTGTTCAAGTAGACCACACAGTATTTTTTCTTCATATTATTCCAGTTGAAGTAAAATAGTGTCCCAGAGCATGTCCCAAGAGTACTGATAGTGTAACATTTTATTTATTCTGTTCCTTTTAGTTTTAATGTGGATCAATTAAAATGATATTGGTGTTTCATATATGCCAATTTCGTATAACTCGTATAATGCATGTTGGTTCAACCGTTCTTCTTAAATACTTTGATTTTCTTATTGATGCTGACAGGAATCTGGTAGTATATAGTAATAAGTTGTTTTACTCCAGGACTGCCCCTCTCTCTCATGTCTCTTATGTGCCTTTGTTGTCACAGACCCAAGTCCACACCCACTGCTTCCCTAAGTGCCAACGGCGTCCCAACAGAGACAGTGGATTACGACCGACTGAAACAGGTAACCTCCTTCAATGACGGAAGGTTTACTGCATCTGTTTTGCATATTATTATTGATAATACATACTCAAATTGAGGAAGATATTCAGAATCTAGTCCTTATACTCAGAATCTATTCAGAATCTATTCCTTATACAAAACAACTGCTTGCGCATCTGATTCATTGCATTGGGCTTTTGATAACTTTTTATATTTTATGTTTCTCTTTGGAAAGTTGCCATTAAACTTAATTATTTATTTTATTTGTGCCATTTGTGTTGTAGGATATCCTGGATGAGATGAGAAAGGAGCTGTCTAAGCTTAAAGAAGAGCTAATTGATGGTATTTAGCTATTCGCTGTTAACAATTACACACGTTGTAAATATTTAAGATGCTGTACTTAAGTTAAAAAATTGGTTGCCTTTTCTTTCTTTTCAGCAATCAGGGAGGAACTGGGCAGATCTAGCACGGCATAAAGATTCATACACATGCTACTGTTCCTGTTGCAGCAGAGGAGGCAGAGATAGGAGACAAGCGGGAGGATCGAACAAGCCCCGCTGTACACCTTTTCCATCATGACTGCAAAGTGGCATTGTGTGTGGCCACTGTAAAGCTTGTCTTCCTTCAATACTATTTAACCTGAATATGTTCATCCAAGAGACAACTTATCAGCAAACCAAGTGTAGATCTATGGCCATAACAAGTAGCTCAATAATAATGTTTTTTTATTGCAGAGGAATTCCATACCAAGTGGACACAATAAGTTGAGCTGTCCAAATAGCACTCTACCAAACCTTCCTGTACTGTTGAATAACATTTCTGTTCCCCTCTCCTGGTCATATTTCATTGTCAAGACTCAGCCACGAAGTTTCCTGATCAGCAATAAGTGTAGCATTTTGTTAAGAGGGTGAGGCCTCCACACATTGGACATACTGCTGCATGTTTCTCTATCAGTCCAAGGATCCAGAAATAAAAGTGGAGTCAATATTTCAAAAGGTGCAATGGAAAGCCCTGGCATAACGAAGGATTGTGCCATTGACTTTTTCCTTTTGCTCAGTATTCTTATGTTTTCTTGTATGTCCAGTCTGGAAATGGTTCAAAATGATTTTTTGTAAGAGGCAAAGAATGTCTGGAACCCAGAAATGTGGTAGCTTTTTCACACATCCTTTTGGGCAGCTTACACTGTAGCCACCATGTTGGAAAGGTATTATACATGTTACAAGTTATAAAGATCCGCTTCTATCACTCTAGGAAATTGGTCTGGTCATTGTAGATTATCCACCTTTCCAATTCTATTTTGTCATTTTATACAATTTATATTAGGCCAAAGAAGTTGGTGACTCACGTAAATGCCTAAAAGGACTCCTAAGAAAGCCAGTTGTTTCTATAATCGGTTCGTAGGGCTTTCCTCCAGTCCCCAAAGTGTCAGGTCTCAAGCAGAAAAGTTATTGTTTACCTACATCTACAAGTAAATACTTAAGCTACAGTTCATCTTTATGTGCCTCACCACTTGGTCGTTACAAAGACAATCAATCTGAAGTATTTCTATCAGTGTTAGTGGCAACAGAAGGAGCACCTTGGAATTAGAAAGGATCAGAAAGGATAGAAGGATCAAATCAGTATTGCAGTTCACCAGAGATCATGAAAATCTTGCATTGCATTTTATGTTTTGGCAGTCATAGTAATATATTGTACTGTATTTTCTGGTTTTGGTCTATTTTCAGGAAGAATGACTTATATGAATTAAACGGATTGTCCTGAAATTTAAGTGTAGGTCTATTTAACCAGCAATACATGTTGCTGTTTCATTAGAACTGCTGCTTCAACCTTTGATATTTTTTCCTCCAAAGGTTGATGAGAAAGTGAAGGTCAGTATGTCCACATTCTAGGAAGTCAGAAAATTATAAAGATGGTGCCTTGATCTCAAGTCATGTTTAATAATATGAAAAACGTGATACTACATGATAGTTCTGGGGACACACGTTTTTGTTTTTTGTTTTTATTATTATCCCTCAATTCTGTTCTCTGTCAAATATGTTTCATTCATGTCTTTGGTGTGGAGGGCACTTCTTCCAAATACATCCAGACCACACTGATTTAATGTTGCTTTTTTGTTTTAATTGTCTTCTGCAGAAATGAAGGATGTTTCCATGTTGCCTTTATCTGAACGGTGCAGTCAGGCCCACGTAGTGTTTCCAAGCTCATTTCTTTGACCACACTGTTCTCATGTGAATTAGTTTTTTCTTACATGCTAACCTATTTTGTTTCAGCAAGTTTATTAAAGTTACAATACAAACTTGTATCTTGCATTGTGTTTTTTTTTTCAACCTTTTCTATTTGATCACATGTAAAGTTCCTATGTTTGTGAGAGGTTAAGACAGACTTTTATAAATTGGACATTTTAGTAAAACGGCAATAGCATTGGTCTGAAGGCTACATTTGCCCCTAGGGATACATTTGCTGCGTTAAAAAAGTAACTTTAATTTCTCTGCGGCAAAGTGCTTGGCTGACTAGCTGAAAGACTCGACCTGAGCAAACAAACAGTGCAATGGCTCTGTGCAGAGTACAGCACCATGAAATTTCCTGTGGGTGGAGCGCATTCTATCAGCATCTGCAGTTCATTTGAGGTTTCGTACCAACAGCTAAAGCCGGTACAGGCTGTAAGCCAGACTCATCTAGGCTTTCATGAGAGGAAACTGATACTTATTTGGCAACATTCTTCACATAAGTACTTGCCCTGCTTTAATCCAAAACAAATCGATCTAATTAAATGTTTTCGGTAACCAATCTAAATTCTACTGAGACCAGTGTCTGCATTCAATGCATTTAATCCTGTAGTGTAAATAAAGTAGTGAGACTTGATGGCGGCGAGTCTTTCACGACCCCAGTTCGGTTAAAATTCCACAGTTGACCAATGAGAAGACGGCACAGTTTGAAATGCCGCCCGATCAGCCAATCAGAGGGCTTCGCGCCTTCGCCGTTGGGTCGGGGCGCACACAGAGGGAGGGACGCACACAGAGCGCTACGTCAAGCGTTTAGCTAAGCCTGCTTTTAATATAAAGACAACTTTTTCAACATTATATTGGATTACAAATCGATTTTGTGGTCGGAATTATTACAATATTTTCACGTAAGTATATATTTTGTTTGTATGCAATTTAAAGGAGAATTGGGTTGCTGGATGTTGGCCTTTGTTGGGAAATCAGGCTTAGCCACAGCTAGCTCTAGCCTTCAGTATAACGGTCTTATTAACGTCGACTGTTTCATGGAGGCAAATTGTTTAAAATCTTTTCTGATGGTTATCCCATCTATGTGTGCAATTTGTGAGGCTTGTGTGCAACAATTCTATTCCATACGGTTGTAATAATTGCAAAAGCATTTGCTATAACATTAGCGTCACCATCCGAAGTTCCGAATAACAAAACGGAGGGGCTTGGACGGACATTAGTTGTTGCCTCGTGGATGTTTGTTGACAAAATAAGCTTTATAAACTGAACACATCTTCACACAGTTTGACTTTGTTTTACTGTGTACAATAAACGTACTTCTGAATCTTTTTCCTGGACTTGTGTGGTTTGCTGGCTGTGGTCGTGTTTCTGTAATGGCAGAGCTTGTTCTCCGTTTGAATGCATGACGTTTTCCCTCCTCCGCGCACAGCTGTGTTGTCCTTTTGCAAACGCAGGCAGGTTTATTAAAAACTAAGCACTTCATATTACAAACCTATTGAGCTGATAACTCCATGCATTCAGGATTAGATATATTTACTCTAGACATTGTTTTATGCTTTACTACTTTTTTCTCGCTCTATGGGACAAATTGGGCCATTACAATTGGAACACACTTCAGAGGGGGGCATATGGTAAATTAGAAATACAGAAATACAGAAGAGACATGTGTATAATACTCCACCCTTAAACTGAGAGAAGGGGAAACTCCCATCACTCCACAGCCCGGAGAGCCGCGCGCCCAGGGTGTGTCACTGCGCGTTTGTGTCCCTAAAACGTTTTTACTACATTTTAACTTTTAATGTTTGAAATTTGCTTTGGCTGCTGTATCGTGGGATACATTCAATTAACGCTGTGCCAATTAAATAATAAATATGTTTGTGTGTTTAATGTACAACGTTAAACCTCCAATCATCTTGTCCTGTGCTACTCATGAACTCATTATGGTGATTTAACCCTGGGGTTGGCTGCACTGTACAACCTGCTGCTGGGGATCTCTCTGTTATGCCAATATGCTGTTGTCGGGTTTTGAGTTGGGGGGCTTTGGTGACCCTCTCTGGGACAGACCTGTCAGCAGTTCTGCTCACTAGACGTAATGCTGACTTGGCCTGGAGGCCGCTTTGTAGCAATATAGAAAGCTCTCTTTTCTAAAGTAGTTCACCTAACGATTCTGTTATGGCACAATGCAGCACTCTTTTTGTTTTGTAATGCCACAATTAAAACAATCTTTACATTGTATATTGTACATTGTATATTTAAAAATGTAGAACGTGTTCTGTGGCACAGACATGGTTTATTGACACTATAATAACTAAAACGTATAATGGTCTCCCAGTCTGAAAATCTTAATCAAAGTACAGCAATGCATCAAGGAACACTCCCTGAATTATTTGGTGTCATCACTAGTTAGTCAAAGTAGAGCTGAATGAAAGTTTTCTTTTTGATTCGACTGAATCTTCAGTTATTTGTTTTACCACAGGTCAATGAGGATGCCGACGGTCAAGTATCAACGTGGGGATACAGTGATGGGACGCTGGCCTGGCAGCAGTCTGTACTATGAGGTCAAAGTGCAGCGCTTTGACTCCAAAAGTCAGCTTTACACTGTCATCTACAAAGATGGTACTGAGCTAGAGCTGAAGGAGCAAGACATAATGGTATGACCATCAGATTTTAACAGAAGCTGCATAAAAGCCAGCCTAGCTGTATTCATCTGTGTTCTACCTTTTGTAACTAAAGCTGTATCATTATTAATATATTTACCTTGTTTGATATCAGATGAAACGCACATTTGTCTTCATCAGCAAGTCATGAGTGCATCCAAATAGACTCTTGGACATATAGTTGTTTATTTGTTTGAGCTTATACAAATAAATGTTTCAAATTTCTGCCCAGAATGCCATGAGTTTCCAGAGTCGTCTGCGCTCTCGGTCTCGGTCACGTTCACCGGGGAGACGCCGCAGTCGCTCTCGCTCTCCAGGTAGGAGCACCCGCCGCTCATCGTCCCGCACGTCAGCCGTCACAACAGAGGGGGCCCCAACTACTCGCAAGGATCCCAAGATCAAGGATGTGGTGGAAGTTCGGCTCACACCACTGGTATGATAAATATGTTTGGTATACTATAGTGTATACTTGAATGCTGTACTGTACTTACTATGATTTTAACAACTACAAAGTCTGTAACCATTCTATCTGACCAACGCTAAATAGTCTTTGTTGTGCATTCTTTGTTTTTCTCTCAAACCAAAAGAAACAGGCAGTGACCACTGACAGCAATAGCAACAATAAGCATGAAAACGAAGAGACCAGTGCTACCAACAAAGTCAATCAGGTATATATCTTTTGAGTAACAACAGAACATGTTAAAAGACAGTGTGCTGGTCATGCCACAGTGGGCTTAAAGTTAATGGAATGTCATGATGTGTGCATGTTGGTGGAGGCACTGACGACTCACAAGATCAGACTCCCATTTAACCAGTCACATGCTGAACAACATGTGCCTGGTCTTTACATTCCTGTTTTTAAATGCTCTGTCCATGTCTTGATATTCCCATACAGTTTAGTTTGATTTACTAGTTTTTCACAGGGACTATGTATAAGCATGTCCATCTCATAAAAGAAAAGAGGCTTTTACCAAATTAGTTTTTGCTTGTTTTTTTCATTTAATAATGCATCAAAACATCTGTATCAATTACTGTTACGTACATAAAACTTAAGTGTGTATTCATAATGCCCTCACACATCTTCCCTTTAGAGCCCAGCATCAAAGAGAAACTGAGCCTGAGAGGACCCAGAATCGCTATAACCTGAGGCGCAGAAAGGATGATGGTGACGCCAAAGCAGTGGAGGCCAAACCCCAGCTCTCAGAGGAGGAGACCAAACCTGCTGTCCCTGCACCAGCCGCCACACCTTTGGACTTTGGAGGAAAGATCGGTATGCTCTTTGTCATGCCCTAAATCTACAGACTGTACAACACCTTAACATTCTCTGGTTTTAGGGGCATACTTCTGGCTGCTGTTTCTGCCAGCATGGGTCTTCTTCCTGCTACTTCAAGTCAACCAGGATGACCCCAGTTTGATGAACTTCCCCCCCCCACTCTCCCCGCTGGAGTCCTTCTGGGATGTCCAGGCCTTTGGTATTGTTGTCCTCTGGGTGTTGTTCCAGGTCTTGCTCTATGTCCTACCGATTGGAAAAGTGAGTCATGATCACAGTTGATAATTTTTTACTTAAGACAGGGAAGATTGTTTAATTTGGCAATCCCAAAAAATGTAACTACTTACTATTGCAAAATTTTCAGCAGAATTCACAGCAGAATAAGTGTTAGTCTGCATTGTACAGAACAGTTCAATGACAATATTTTATTTGGTTAAAATTACAAAATCCTTATCCTGTACTAATGTAAGCCCTATATCTTTGCAGCTCAGTGAGGGTATGCCTTTGACGTCTGGAGAAAGACTGAAGTATAGAACAAACGGTAAGTTTATAATCAACCATATTATCAGTTTCTGAGTGAATCAGTAGTTTTTGTCAGATTAATTAATCACAATGCACATAGTGTACATATTTAAATGTAATTTGAAGCATTTTAGCAAATTTTCAGAATTTTCACAACTCTAAATAAATTATTGTCAGTTGGACTTTAAAATAATATAAGTCCAGACAATGCATTTTAACACTTATCCAACTGACTCATGCACATAAGGACTGGTGGAATGATAATTGTCCCTTGTCAGGTTTTTTTGCCATTACCGTGAGCGCCATCTCAGTGGGGGCCGCAATTTACCTGGGAGTTGACCTCACCTACATCCATAGCCACTTCCTGCAGTTGGCATTGGCTGCACTACTGATTTCATTCCTTCTGAGTGTGTACCTGTATGCTCGCTCTCGCAGTGCGCCCACAGACCAGCTAGCTTTAGGCGGAAACTCAGGTGAGGAGAGCTTTCATCTCTACATTCTGACCCAGAATGAAGGTTTCGATCCAAACTAACATTCCACCTGTCCCTTTTCATTTCAGGCAATGTCCTCTATGACTTTTTCAAAGGAAGAGAACTCAACCCACGCATCAAAAACTTTGACCTCAAATTTTTCTGTGAGATGCGTCCTGGTTTGATTGGCTGGGTGAGTTCAGACTTATAATCAAACAGTATTATGTATGTTTTATACAGAATAGTGAATGATACCTTTAAATACATCGCCTATGTATTATCTAATTTTGGTTAAAATGTGCATCTTGGTTTTTAGTGTGTGATCAACTTGGGCATGGCTTTGGCAGAAATGAAGGTGCAGAAGCTAGAGACCCCTTCTCCTGCTATGATCCTGGTGAATGTGTTCCAGCTGCTCTATGTGGCGGATGGTCTCTGGAATGAGGTAAGAGACAGCTCCTCTATTGTGGCTCTGCAAACGGCATCTTCTCCTGTCTAACCTGTTTTCTGTAGGAGGCCATTCTCACCACAATGGATCTGATGCATGACGGCTTTGGCTTCATGCTGGCCTTTGGGGACCTGGTGTGGGTGCCATTTACCTACACACTACAGGCCTATTACCTTGTCAGCCACCCCAACCCACTGAGCCCCCTCACCCTGGCACTCATCATCTCTATCAAACGTCAGTATAATTTGCCTCTACTTTATTCAGTCCCTCCTTTATTTCACAACACTGGAGATTCCATTTTGGTAACAGTACTGACATTATTATCAAAACAGCATTTGAAACTATGGCGAGACAGATTTTTTTGTGTACTCTTTCTGTTTCTCAATAACATGATCCCTGTTTATCTTTTGCAGTGGTGGGTTTCTACATCTTCAGAAAGTCAAATTCTGAGAAGAATGCCTTTAGAAGGAACCCAGCAGACCCCAGACTCTCCCGTAAGATCCTGTGCTATTTGTGCTTATTTGTTTTTTCCCTGTTTTTTGGTAGTCGGGACAGTCCACAAAATATCTGGACTGTGCAAATAGATTTTTTTAAACTCCTGTAGAGGTTTATCTTTACACAGTATACTTAAAATATGAGACAAACATGGAAGAAGTCAGTTGTGAATGCCTCATTTGTAGATGCTGAGTTTGTCTATGATTGCAGATCTGAAGAGCATCCCTACAGCCACAGGCAAGAGTCTGCTGGTGTCGGGATGGTGGGGAGTGGTCCGCCACCCCAATTATCTGGGAGACCTGATCATGGCCCTGGCCTGGTCACTGCCTTGTGGTGAGTTTCTTTAACAATTGCCTTAACTTTGACTGGAAGTCACAGTTAAATAATCATCCTTTTTTCTGTAGGTTTCACCCATCTGTTACCGTGGTACTACATGATCTACTTCATCATTCTGCTTGTTCACCGAGACTCCCGGGACATGAGTGAATGCAGGAGGAAGTACGGCTCGGCATGGGACGAGTACTGCCGAACTGTTCCGTACAGAATCATCCCTTGTATTTACTGAGAATCAGGCATTTCATTCAAATATTACCACCCAAAACCAAAAGGACTAATTGAACTTTCTTAACTTAAAATTTTCAATCTTGACCTAAAAGTGGTACATAGAAGAAGTAGGAAGAAAACAATGCCAAAAATGTTTCTTTTGTCATGCAAAATAAGAAAATGCTTGAAATATTTTTTATGTAAAGCAACTGCAAAAACCCTGCTAGGATTGTGTTATTGACTTGTAGATTTTGTATATAGAGGTTTTGTACTTAAACGTAAAAAATGGGGGGAAAAAAAAAAAATCATTGATTAATTTGAAAATTTCAGATTTTTTTCCTGTGACAGTTCCAGCGTGGCTTTTATGAATATATTTTATGTTAAGTCTTCCTGCACAACAATATAGCTTTTTATTTTTGTGAATGGTGGGATTCAAATGCTCATTGCTTTGAAAGGCTGCACAGTGGAACTCAGGACACAGGCTTTAGGAAGTTAACATATGAATTTGTATTTTAATATTTTTTGATGTGTGTGATTTTTACAGAAATCTAGCTATGAGTTTAGTGTTAAAATAGTTTGAAGAGTGAATAATGCACTATTTACTGACAGTGTTATTTAAGTTACATGATTTTAATGAATTTGGCTTGAAGACTACCTCAGATGTACACACTGTCTTTCAGGCATGTTCCTGATCTGTTTAATCAGGGGCTGTAGCAGCTCTGGCTGTTTAAATGATTTTAATATTATGAAGTGAATATACTGTGATGAAATTCAGAGCTGTGTAAGCTTTTCAAAATTGTGCATTTAAAACCCAGAAAGTAGCTGTAGGTGACTATGTAGCTATAAATTAAGTTTTTCTTTTATGATCATAGAGGTTATAGCTGTAAATATTTTTCACAATATTTCATTTTACAACAGCAATAAAATGAGTATTCACAGTGGTTTACAAAAAGGTGAGTGTGATTGTTGTTTTTGACCATGTAGCTTCAGTCTTCTCTCTCTAAGGACTACTATTGGTTATAAATAAACTGATAATTTGAACACAAAAATACACAACTATCTTTCAGCTTCTCCCTGTCTGGTTTCACAATCTTTACCCCAGGGTTCCCACAGTCATGGAACTGGAAAAGTCATGGAACTTTGTAAATTCAATGAAAGTTTTGGAAAAGTCATGGACTTTAAATATCTCATGCAACTACAGTGTTCTGTTAAGCTCTCATTAGGCTGTTATGAATACTTTCAAATGTATATACACTTTGTTTAAAAGAGATTACAATAAATGCACTGACAGAATGTTAAAAAACTATAATACGAAACCATAAGGTGAGTGGAAAGGGTAACGTTTCATATTTAGCTCTAAAAGTATGATCAATTCTACACATGTAGGGTAAAGCTGTAAAGTCATACAAAATTCACTTTATGTCACAGGTGTCAAAAATAAGGCCCCGGATCCGGCCCTCCAAGACTTTTAATCTGGCCCTCAGATGATTTTCTACTAAAATATTTGAATTATATTTTCTATCAAAATATTGGTAATTTTCTGCGCCGCTTAGCATAGCAGCATCTCCAGCGCCTCTGTGCATGGCCGCCTCCCACCAGAGCAGCACAAATGAAGACTTGCCTCTTTCCAAACGGTCTTAAAGGATGATCGTGACACCCTCATTAGCAAAATGTCAAAAATGAGAAAAGTGGACACCGAGTGCAGGATTTTCCAAGAAAAATTTACTTATTCCTATTTGCATACAAGTTAATGTTAAAACATTGTGTTGAAATTACATTTTTCTTAAAATTTCAAGTTGTTCATAATATTATAATATTTTGTGAAAGAAGTTCATCAATTAAAAAAGATTTCTGTAATAGATTTGTATTTCTCTGAACAAATATTTGAACTTATTGCTATTTTTGGGATATATATGTCATGAGTTTTCTGATCCGGCTCCTTTGGGATCAAAGTAGGTTGGATACAGCCCCTGGACCAAAATAAGTTTGACACCCCTGCTTTAGGTCATGAAAAAGTCAGGGAAAAGTTTTGAAATTTTGTCAGGGAAAAAAAGTGGGAACCATGTTACCCTTTTCTAACATTAAATTAGACTAATTTTCATTGTACTGATACTTATAAATTAAGTACAATATAAATAATCTCTAAAAACGTATTGGTTCAGTTGTTTTAGATGTGTGCTTTGTCTCCTGTTGATCAGAAATCTTAAACCAAAAAATAAATTAACGAACAATGTAAACATAATAACCCATTGTAAATAAGTCTTAATGAGGAATCCTTTTTATTTTTGAATACCGATAGCTCCAATAAATTTTATAGTCCCTGATTTGAATGAAGTAAACGTGATTTTTGTTTTTTTTTTTAGCAAATGTAGACAGCAGCGCCCTCTAGCGTACGCGTTTTCTTCTGAAGTGTGACGGGCAGAAGGCAGGTGGCAGTAAAGTCACTTTTCCTCAGATACACTGACTTTGATCAGTGAAGAATAAAGCACCAAACTCGGAGTTTGACTTTTCCTCCCAACGCGAAAAGGTAAAAATTAATTTATTTAGTAGATGTAGAGAGGAATAACGCGGGGAACACAGTAGAGCCTCTTTAGCTGCTCAAACCCACAGTTGGGTCAATATTTAAAGCTAATGTTAGACTTAGCTCCGAAAGCTAACTGCTGCTGCTAACTACTTTAATTGCACACAAGTTGTAGAAAACTGGTAAATGGGTATGGTTTTGCGTTGAGCTGTCGTTTTGTTTTTAGATTATGATCTTTATGAGTCAAAAGGTCACTATTTATTTTTTCCAGCAGCCGGTTAAGTAATGACATAATAACTTTAAATCATCTCTTGCTCGAAAGTGTTGTTGTTTGAAGACTTACATAAGTGCTTTTCTTAAACTCCAAATTATTCTGGGCACAGTAATGTTTCATGACTGAGATCTAGATATTTTTTTTTTTACAACATTTCAGAAGTTTTATGAAAAAAATCTATTCTGTTGCACATACTCTAGATGGGGTGTGGTGGACAATGCTTTAAAACATTGCATTTGAAACAAGAAAAATCTCCACTTAAGACTTAAGACTGGCCTCATAACAGTCTGTAATTATCTTTTTATTTACAGCAGAGACATGAGTGTTCGAGAGATTGTAGAGAATGTGAAGCTGGCCCGGGAATATGCTTTGCTGGGGAACTATATATCAGCTAGTGTCCTCTATCATGGGCTGTTGGATCAAATCAAGAAACACATCTACACTGTGTGTGATGGCTCCTTCCAGCAGAGGTGGCAGCAGGTACAGCCCCATTTAACCAGAAACATACATACATACATACATACATACATACATACATACATACATACATACGCACACGCACACACGCACACACATACACACATACACTAGAGATGCGCGGATGGGCTATTTTTTCATCCGCAACCGCGACACAAAACTCATCATCCGCCCGCTATCCATTTTGCACCGAAGGTTTTCAAAACCGCACCCGCCGATTGATTTTAGATTTTAGAACAATCATACAGCAAACAAACTAAGGAGCCTCGATAAAAACTATAGCTCATTCATTCCAAAATTCGCTCAGCGTGTATGTTCGCATTCTTAATTGTCAGAGTCGGCGTCAGAGCACATCTACTGGAGGGGCACGGGTCACCAGCAGGGCCAGCAGGGCACTGCCATTTGAGAAATATTTTAACGCGGTGGAGTCATACACAGCAGACATGCTATCAAACACGTTTTTCTTTAACAGTATTAGGCTAATTATGTGTTGTTATTATAATCATTATTATATTAAGATTATTATTATTATTAGCTGCAATAGTTGTTGAGGCTGTGTGGTAGACGATAGGCACACAAGACAATAATAAATTAACAGCCAAGCGCAAACTTTATGCTACAACACAACGTAACACACCGCTCACACCCAGACCCAACAACTTCAGTAAAACTACAATAAGAGACATGAACACAGATGCCGCTCCTACAGCACACGACAGAACAACCAGAGCAGCTCCATCGCACCCGCGAGCTATTTTACGCACTATTTAACTATTAACAACACTATAACACTATTTACCTGTGAGGCTCCAAGTTCAGATTTGCCGCAAACTAATGAAAACCAGCCTTTTACCTTCTCCAGAGACTGATGCAGAGTGTTTCCTCTATCCACTGTCCCACTGGTTCTGTTTCCAAAAGTCTATTGTCCAATATGAAGAGATGAAACTGATCCAAATCCTGGTCCAGTCTGGTCCGTGATGCGAGGTCCGGGAGCCGAGTGCACAAGATGGTTGTAAAATTAGTCTTAATCCCACTTCCCACTTAAATCTGAAAGTTACGGTCAGTCCATATCAGCACCAGGACACCAGGTAGAATTATGCCTCTGCGCGCTATGCTCAGGTCAAACTTTTACACCCAGAAACGAGCGGGCAAAGGCGGATAGAGCAGCGAGCGACTGCCCTGGCCCCGGCGGCGGCAGCGAGAGTCCCAGCGGCGACTGCCCCGAGTCCGGGCATCGACAGTCCCGGGTCCCGGCGGCGGGTCTGTCAGTGTGTCTTTGACTCTGTTCTCGCCATTTCCTGTGTGGAGCTTTAGGCTAAAGTAGCAGCTGCCGCTAATCGTGGAGCTGCTACGAGTTGACGCAGCAGGTTGACGTGACGTGACGTGAGTAACAGGACAGTTGTCCAATCACACTACACTAAATAAACAGAGACTGTGATGTCATTGATGTCACAGTAAAGTTTGTGCCCTCGGCCCGAAGTAAAATGCGCCAATCAAAATCATTTTAAAATAGTCATAATAACGGCCTGTTGGGGGGTGGGGCACCAGTGGCCGCTGGGGGGGCACGGCCCTCAAATGCCCCACCTTGCCGCCGACACAGTTAATTGTCCGTAACAACCCCAAACTTACCTGGTTTTCTTGCGCAGCTAATTAACTGACAACGTTTTCCGACTAGGCTATTTTTGAACCTTCTTGCCTTCGTGTTGGATGTTGTTACATTCTGAACATTCTGCCATTGCCCGATGTTATTTCAAAGTCATAGCCTCACTCCATCGGTCTTTCTTTAAGTTTTAAATACCCCGAGTGGCAGTCTACGCTATAATGTCTGCGTGTTTTAAAATATATCTGATATCGAAACAAAAAAAAAGCATAACTAAATAAATATGGCCCTATAGCAACTTACGTGTTGGCAAACAGCTGAAATAAATTAGAAATAATAAAATAAACTGCATATAATATGTGCCTCGTAAACCTTAGACTATCAATAACCCGACACAACCTTAACCTTCAGAACATAAAAACGAGGTCAAATGGGCTAATTAAGGATATGACGTACACTTCATACTACAAGCATAGACAATGAGACTCGTCTTTTCAGATGTAGGTAACAATACTAACAATAACTTTTTTTTTTTTTTTTTTTTATAGTTAAACCGCCACCCGCCCGAATTTAATTAAAATATAATTTTTCGTCACGTCATCCGCCCGACCCGCGGATTAACCGCGGATACCGCGGTTGTAACCGTAATCCGCGCATCTCTAACATACACATACACACAACTATGGGCAACCATGAAACAGTATTACACATTTTAATTAGATTCAGAAAAAAAACATCAATTTCTCTGTGAAAGTGCTCTGCCCTTTTTAACGCACAGCAACTATATTACATTATGTGTCAGTAAAACGTTTTCTGTCTCAGTTATGGCAGGAAATCAGTGAAGAGAGTCGCCAAGTGCAGGACATCAGGTCGACTCTGGAGAACTTTCAGTTTGATGCAGCAGCTGCAAAACCAGCCAATCATGACGACTTCGATAAGAGGCCTGTGCAAGTGGAGCCCAGGTTCAGAAATCAGTGGATTAGAATAGCATGTGGTTTGTGCCACAATTTGAACACAAAGAGAGACTGTTAAATGCCTGTCACATGACATTAGTGTAAAACTCACACAACTTAGTTTACAGACATTTGTAATGCTAAATGTGTATAGTGTGTATTTGTCTGTAGTAACTGTTAGACTATCTTAAATAACAATCATAAGATTTTATATAGCAAAGAAGAAGACATACCTATACAAATGTCCTGTAACCTGATCTCTCTAAGAGCTTGTCACTGTCATACCTGTTCTACAGACACTCCCCTTGTCCTGTGAGGCGACCTTCTAATCCATATAAAGACCACAAAGCCCCAAACAATCGTCTGAGTGTGGCGGTCCGTGCTCAGCAGCGCCACTCCCCTCGGGGCAACGGGGACCGAAGCAGATTCCCCAAGAGCAAAGACAAAGATGTGAAGGAGCCTAAGGAAGGGGCTGCCAAAGCTAAAGATGATAAGGTAAAGCACATAGAGGCCTATTTATACTAATATTTCTTTTGACTATTTATATGTGAAATCTGTTTGAGTGTTGATTCTGTTTACACAGCAACACACAACAATATGTTAGTAACATTTAACAACAGCCGATATATTTAGGATACATTGGGAGCACTGATTCTGGTGAATCTGAGTTTGGTCAAACAAAGCAACCCAAATGAAGGCTTCAGTTTATAGTTTGGGACTGATGGTTTTGTTTTGTTTTTCTGCTTTTGTTGAAACTGTTTGCCAACTGTTTGCTCGAGTCTGTACTACAGCAGGACTTCTGTCCACCTAGGCCAGTCACCATAACAAATTTTGAAGTGAGATACATTCCTTCAGAAAATGTAGTGACAAACAGTAATATTCAAACTACTTATCCCTGGTTCCCCACTAGTGTAGCTATAAAGAAAAAGTACACACAATAAATGAAATATGTACAGTTCTGTAATTTACTGAATGATAAGTTAATATTAATAGTGGTTTGTCAGTCCCGTTTTCACTGGTCAAACCGATGTTTGTACTTTCAGAATAAAGGTGATGTCCAGGAGAAAGAAATCAAAAAGTTTGATGGAAGTGGATATGACAAAGACTTGGTGGAGGCTTTGGAGAGAGATATTATATCTCAAAATCCAAACGTCAAATGGTGAGCATAGGATTCTTACTCTTTTCTGAAGCAGCTTTATAGATGTCTTCTTTCACTTCTTGTGTTTGGTACTGTGAACCTTTTAGGGACGATATCGCAGATCTTGAAGATGCAAAAAAACTCCTGAAAGAAGCTGTTGTTCTACCCATGTGGATGCCAGCTTTTTTCAAAGGCATACGGAGGCCATGGAAGGTGCACAGGAAGACTGTTGGGTTCATGCCACATATGGCTATTTGGTTTTATCTTTAAAATGTCTCTGGTGTCTCTCTGCAGGGGGTACTCATGGTGGGACCTCCAGGTACAGGAAAAACACTTCTGGCCAAAGCTGTTGCTACAGAATGTAGAACCACCTTCTTCAATGTGTCCTCTTCCACCCTCACATCCAAGTACCGCGGCGAGTCAGAGAAACTAGTACGACTCCTCTTTGAAATGGTAACATAGATTTTATTTTTTAATTTTGTGCTTTTTTATTTCCTTGGATGTCTTTCACAATTTTTCTAATCAGGGAAAATATGTCAGCTTAGCCCATTCTTGGTTGGAAAACATCTTGATTAATTTAATTCACAGAATTGGTGTGTGGAGACATTGGTGACCATGAGGTAACTGCAAGATTAACTTTTGCCTGCCCAAGATCATATGTTTCATGTTGCCACAGTCACAGATATGTGTAAATGTGATTGTAAACTGCCACTAATGTAGTATGACATGACGAGCATAATCTTCATATTTGATAACTCACCTAAACTAGCCATAGCAATATGTCATTACGTTTTTCTTTTGTAAAGCAATTTCTAAATTAAACGTGTATACTGAGTCTTCTAAAAGTCTTGAGTCCTCTTCACACAGGCTCGCTTCTACGCACCCACCACCATCTTTATCGATGAGATCGACTCAATGTGCAGCCGCAGAGGCACGTCTGAGGAGCACGAGGCCAGCCGCAGGGTCAAGGCAGAGCTCCTGGTGCAGATGGATGGTACCCACTCACACAATGTAAACAATGTAAGACCACCCCATTACAAGTATAAGACTAAAGCACGCCTCTTGTGGCAGGTGTGGGTGGAGCCTCAGAGAATGATGACCCATCAAAGATGGTGATGGTGTTGGCAGCCACCAACTTTCCCTGGGACATAGATGAGGCATTGAGGAGACGTCTTGAGAAGAGGATCTACATCCCTCTGCCATCAGGTAACAGGCTTATTCAACTGTGAGGCCAGTGACTCTCAGGTCCAGTTTGGATGAAAATGCTGCAAATGATGTGTGTGGATATATGTGTGTTTGTTCTTATCAGCTAAAGGTCGAGTGGAGCTGCTTAAGATTAATCTAAAGGAGCTGGAACTGTCTGGTGATGTGGACATGGAAAGGATAGCAATGCAAATGGAGGGTTACTCTGGAGCGGACATCACCAATGTGTGCAGGTCAGAATCCAAATATCTGCATTCTTTTGTACTCCACATCATTAGATTGGTTGTATTAAAAAATACTATATCACGTTGCAGGTTTATTCATTGCAGGTTTTTCTGATGTTAATTCATGGCAAATGTTTAAAAATGACAAGCTTTTGGAAAGCTTGTCTATAATGAGTATATGTATTCTTTCAGAGATGCATCCCTGATGGCCATGAGGCGCAGGATCGAGGGCCTGTCCCCAGAGGAGATTCGAAACATCTCCAGAGACGAAATGCACATGCCCACGACCATGGAGGACTTTGAGACCGCTCTGAAGAAAGTGTCCAAGTCTGTGTCAGCGGCTGATCTGGAGAAGTACGAAAAGTGGATCCAGGAGTTTGGCTCATGCTGATGCTTGTTTGCAGTTTCATTGTTCACTAAGTGCACTTCATTTTTATTAGAAATGTATCAAAAACACTAATAAAGCAGCTATTTAAAGCACAGCCTGCACTTGTCTTGCTCACACAAATACATAATAATGTAATAATATGTATATATATGTTACAGAATAATAATCACCTCCAATGCAGTCAGGAAAAACACGACATCACATGCCATTAAAAATAGGTTCTTAAATCCAGAATAAAGGAAAGCAAAAATTGTAACAGGAATACTAAATAGAAATATGATGCATGATATGGAACTCGAAGAGGACACAGCAATACCTGAATTGAGCAATATGTTGTTACGTGCAGTGACTGACATCGCTGCTAGAGACAACACATATTGGTCAATTTGTTCAAAGCACTTTAACTAATGGGCAACAAGTTACGGTGCAACAGAAGGCATTAATCATAATTAACTATTTCTATAAGACTTAAGAATACTTAAGACTGGTCTTGACGTGTCTAGCGGGCCCTTTGCCCCTAGAGGGCGGTATACTTATTTTCAAGTGATTATAATAGCCCACTAATATCTTACAAAAGTGAGCCTTTGGACTAAATATACAAAGTACATCAAGTATACCTATGTATACATAGTCTTCAAGGCTATTGGAAAGATTGCAACAGCTGCCACTAACTTAACTAAATGCAACTTATAATTTTCTTTTCAAGTGCTCATGTACAAAGTAAACTGATAAACCAGGACATTATGATCACTGGCACTGACAGGTGAAGCCATTAAGCTCAAAGTTGGCATGTGGCCCGTGCTTCTGATATGAATATCAGAACACACATTGCATCACAGTGTTGTGTTGGAGGATGCTGTTTACACTGCTACATGACTGGACTGCTTGTGGTAGCACCAGAAGAAGACACCAAGACTTGAAAGACAAAAACACAAAGACCGTGCTTTAACTTAAACAAGCTTATTTTTAATGGATCTGCAAAATTGTTTGAATTTCCAAAGAGAACTTCTGTACCTCCTGCCCAGTTACCCAGTGGCAAGCGTTACACAAAGTTACAGAAACGCTCCCAACCCCCAAAAAAATCTGCATGCAGGAAAAAAAAAAGAATAATTCAAAGTAAAATAAACCATACAGTTAAAAATAAACATTGATAAACAGGACACATAATGCCGTTCTCTTGGCTGGAGGAGAAATTCAAACTCTTCTGCTTCAGTTCAGGCTCAGAGTTGAGACCGAACGCACAGAATATTAAATTTTAATTTCATTGGGTGGATGTGGCTCCGCCCACCACACAGCCCCGCCCCTGTCATCCATATAAGGCACAGGACAAAATAAACCCCCACATACAAAAGGAGCTAGCCACGCCTCTGTCACTTGGTAACAAACATTAAAGGACAGAAACAAAAAAACCACAAAGTGTACAAAATGTTCAATCTACATGTGTCTTTTTGATTCTTTTCCTCAGACTGAAGATGAGTGCTGTGGGGAAGGGCGCCGTGGGGAGCAAAGAAATATTAAAAATATGAACTCGTTTTTACACTCTTTTGTACAACCATTAAAACAAATGACAAGAAACGTGACTGGATTTCTCTTTTTTATCAGAAATAAAAATTACGATGGGATGGAAAAGGGGGCATGAGTCAAGTGGTTTTAATTTGGTGGAGACAAGACGGGGTCAGTGTGCAAGAAAAACTCATGAGAGACAGGTGGGTTAGAGGTCAAAGGTGAAGGTTAGCGGTTAGAGACAGAGACGTGTTGTTGGTGTAGTTTGTTTAGTGTGCGTCGTTAGTGTGACTCGTTCAACTGCAGCACTTGCTCTTCCAGCCTGTGACTCCGCCCCCACTGCTGATGTCAACGTTTTCACTGTTGGGCTCTTTTACAGGTGTCTATGAGAAGCAAAAAACATGACTGTTAATGACTTTTATACCTTCTAGTTCAGGTCAATGCTCTTTAAACCATCTTTGAGAAAAAAAATTAGACTGAATGAGACTTTTTGATGCTTTTTTTCTGGACAGCAGCCATATCAGATTGAGAAAAATAAGCTTAAATATTCATAAATTGTGGTTTAAAATTAGGTCCAGGGCCTTTTAAAAGAATCTTCTGTATTTAACCTTAATAATTTTACCATTTTATGCCTGGAAACACATACCTTTCTGAGGATGTCTTCTGCTAACGTGAGGAAAGCTTTCTCAATGTTGATGTTGGCCTTAGCACTCGTCTCAAAAAACCTAATGCCATGCTCCCGTGCAATCTGTGGAGGAAAGCCAACGCAGACGTGTCAGGAGAGTGGGCAGAAGGGACAGAGGGGTAAGAGGGGCTGTCTGATCCAAAAATAACCCCCCTCTCCTCCGCTCAGGTGTGTGTTTCTGTGAGTAAGCAGATCTGGATCAGATGCTGCCAAATCTACACACTCATCAGGCTTCGTCAGACCTGCTCAGGAGCTACAAGGGGCCAGAAGACCAGTGCACATTTTTTCAATGAGCTCAGTACTAACCACGGCACGGATGAAAGATGAAACAATGCACATGTCAAATTGCATTTAAAGTGGGGTTGCACAATTTTGCTTATAATTTAAATTTGAATTATTTTAAGCAATTACTTCTAAACTGTCAAACAAAACCTGTAGGGGAAGAATACACCTAATCTTTTGATGGTCTACTGTGGTATCTGTTTAAAAACAAATGTATGAAAGTGTAAATTCTTTCAACGGTATAACTCAAAAGATAATGTGTGACAATGCGAGACATACAATTTGTGACAGTGGAGTGTGCGGGTGATGCCACACTAAACACAGGCTAAAGACTCACCTGCTCCCCCTTGGCTTTTGGTACGACCCTCTTGTCTTCCATGTCACACTTGTTGCCTAGCAGCATCCTCTCCACGTCCTCATTCGCGTGCTGCAAAACAAACGGGAAATGTCATTATCCAGTAACACATACCTACAGACCCTAAGAAGCAGATCACACTCAAAGGTTAAGAGGCTGTGGCTCTGGGTGTTTAGGAAGGGGGTCCATTTAAAATACATTTAAGACTTGATTCATTTTGTACAATTTGTCAAACATAGTCTTTTTATATTCATTCAAGTTGTGTGTAAAATCCCTCAGTCATCCAGGTAGAATCCATGGCAAAAGGAGAAATTCAATTTGTGAACTGGACTTTTGGTCGAATACGTTTTGCAGCTCATCCAAGCTGCTTCTTCAGTTCTGGTCAAACGCTGGTCAGGTGCTTATATCTGCCTGAAGGTAAGAACTAACTACAATGAAACTGCTCTGAAACTAAACTACTTGTTTAGTCAGACATTGTCTCCCATTTATACCTCTATCCTCAGACCTAAATCAAAACAAAGAAAACAATAAGGATAGCCGGGTCAGGCCTAGAGGTGTGAAAGCACTCATCAAGGGCCTGAATGATTATTCTAATAGGACTCCTCTCAGCTCTGCCGGTTGAAATGCACTAACAAAAAGAAACTGTTAACAAGTAGGTGTGTTAGTTTCACAGTACGTGTAAGTGTAATTTGCTCCTCCTTACAGACAGATAAGGAAGTGTCCACCAGCGTCTGACCAGAACTGAAGAAGCAGCTTGGATGAGCTGTGAAACGTAATCAACTAAAAACTTTTGTTCAGTTGACACACTGAATTTCTCCAATGCCATTTAGTCAAGCTGAACATAACAAGAAAATAAATCAGTGCTGACAGAGGAGTAGAGCTGCACAATTAGGAGAAAAATTGCATTTGCAATACTTGCTAGAAAAATCACAATTAGATTTGAGATTAAAAAAAAAAAAAAGATTCTGTTTAAAGTTCATATTTTAAAACAAGTTAGACGTTCTTCCAAACTAATCAATTTGAACATATACATTTTTCACAGTCCTATTCAACTGCAATTATTCTTGCAGCCCAACTGTGGAGTACAAAGTCAAATCTTAAAAGTAAAAGAAAAACAAACAGCTGTAGAATTGTACAGACTAAACCTATCCTATTGCTCAGTCATAGCTGCTCTCATAACATTGACCCTCTGCAGCACCCCATAACATACTGCATTCTTAGATGATTCCGTGGCTTTTTCCACAGCGTCAAAATGAGTCGAGTATTTTCAACCTGTACTTGCATAATTCTGTGGGAGTCATTTCTGAATATTTGTACATTATTTTGCTGACTTGTTCTTGCTTTTGTTTTCATATGCCCACTTGGTTAATGCTATGTTAGTCACAAACACCCAAACTGTAGCTGTTCTTTTGTTCAGTTTGTCAGAAAGGGATGCAGACATCTCAAAACAATGTGTGAAATATTGCTTACTAAACAAATAATTTGTTGTGGCTGCCCAAAAGGCATTTTTACAGGTGACAGAAAAATACAGCACTCGCACAAAGTCAGTGGTCTGTGGAAATGTCCAACGTTACATTTGCCCTTGTATCAGCTTCACATCCATTTTTCCTCAGCTCCATTATCTTGTAAACAGAGCGGTCCAGGCACAGCTCCAAGACAAACTGATTATGTGAATTAATGTGGCAGTTTAACCTTTCTTGTGCCTCACTTCCTTCATGAAGAATACTGCGCAGAGTTTTGACATCTCTTAGCTCCACTTTGTTACTCACAAGGAGAATCAGCTCTTACGCAGGTTTGTCGTGAGGTCATTAGGGAAAGTCAACACAATGAACTTCCTGCCTGGCCATACCACTCTGCCGTGGTCTGTGGCAGCTCCATTTCTACGCTCAAATGAATGCACTTTTCTAATCCATATTTTAGTATTTTCTTTTAAATTAACTGTTTTTGCTTGTTTCTTTGTTGTCAATTGTTTAGTGGTCAAAAAGCAGTCCACTGATTCATAGACCTTTACACAACTGCCTGTCAACTCTGCGCTTAGTTACAGAGGGGGTATTTCACTTCTATGGGGTATTAACTGTTAACACACAACATATTTAGATCACCATGTTACCTCTTATTATTTTGAAAATGCTCTATTCACTGAAAACAAAGTGTTAACATGTTTTATAATTATCACTTTCATTTATGAGACTGAGTTCACCCTCTCATTGCTTCCCACATTAAGTCACTCCCCCTTCTGAGCGCCATCACAACACAATCAGTGTGTATCCCGTTATTGAAACTATTGCAAATCATACCAGGTTTGAAAAGTTGTTGTGTACAGTTTTTTAATCATGTCTTCCTATATTTATGAAGAATGAAGAAGGGAGCATCGATTACGTGGACTTCTGGACTGGACTTACATCTTTTCCATTTAATGCATGTACTATTGAGTTTTTTAGGACACCAGAAAGTATAGCAACAACCACAGGGATCCACAAAAATAGGGCTACGTGCACACAGCAGGGTATATGGCCCAATTCAGATTTTTAATATAGTCAGTCACATTACAACAAAGAGGTGACTACAATTTATCTCTAAAGTGAACAGAGTGTGGTCGCAAAGTGACCCGCATGCACACAACAGAACATAGCATCACGCGCAGCACGTTGTCTTTGCAGAAGTAAACAATCTCCAGATCGTCTCAATCTTGGCACATTTGTGCCTTTTTTAAAGTTATTTGTGCAACAAACAGCTCCACCCCCGAACTGATAATCAAAGCGCGGGGGCTGACTCAGCGCCGCTCCCCGACTCCCGCTCCCCCGACTCCCCCGACTCCCGACTCCCCCGACTCTGTATTTTATAAAATAACCAATGCGGTGCAATAGGATCACTTTTGTTGTGAAATTAAATGGAGACTTCACAGCATTAGGACTGCAGAGAGGGTAAGAAAACATACTTCAGGCCAGTGCTCATATGAATGAGCAGCTTTTGTAAAGATCCAGATCAAAATAAACTGTAGCCAATAGAGAAAGCGGGCTCTGCTGTGAGGAGTGAGCATATAGAAGAGCATTCGTGAATGATGTGTTGCAGGTCAGACTCAAGCCAGATCGGTTATATATCGGATTTATGACCACGTATGAATGAGGCATGGGTCGGATTTGAAAAGAAAAAAAAAATTTTGCTGTTCACAGTGAAATGAAAAAAATCTGATACTGGTCACATATGGATAAAAAAAATCTGATTTGGCTTGTAGTGTGAACGTAGCCTTGGACCGCAGAGGATGTCCATGGTCAGTTAAAAGTTTCTTTCTGCAGTAGTCTGCTCAGTCACTGTTCATGTCTGAGCTCTTTTTCATCATAAATCTGAGATGAACCTCATGTGTGAGGGCTCTCTGAGGTGAAGGAGAGCAGTCAGTTTGCCCATATCTACACTTTTAGTCAAAATTCAGCATTATAAATGACATCATCACTTCAAATCTACGCGGGTCCAGACATTTCTTACCTCATCGATATTACGGAGCCATTTGCTGATGTTTTCAAAGCTCTTGGCATTGGTGATGTCATACACCAGCATGATGCCCATGGCGCCTCTGTAGTAGGAGGTGGTGATGGTGTGAAACCGCTCCTGTCCTGCTGTGTCCCTAAAACACAATGTACAATCTCAAACAAACAACAGGCTAAATCTCAGCTCAACAAATCTGTACTACATGAGACAAAACAAGGTACCTGTTTGAAATGACCACACTATAGCAGTGGCACCCATAATTTTTCTGTTTTACCTATGAATAAACTGGTGACCCTAACATCCTTCGGCAGAAGAAGTTATTGTCTTATAAAGAAAATGTAAATATTTTCTGAATTGATAACAATGTTTGAGAACAGTATTGATTTATAAAATGTGTACTTCTAGTTTCACTGCATTTCCAAATCCTACCTATAAACCTGAATTTTAAACTAAACACTAGAGTTTTAAATAAGAGGAGTATAGGAGTGACCACACACCAACTGCTGTGATTTAATTCAACTTCAGCAGATCATGATTATCAAGGTCACAAATCCTTTTCTCTACCAGAGCACGGACACAACATGGAATGAGCAGAGTTGGACTTAGGCCTGTCATGACAACACATTTTGATGTTAAGTATATTGTTGAAAAAACAATGCCACTGATACAATAAACCTAAAGCAAGATTATCATCCTGAAAATATTAAGTACAATATCATTAAACAATGTGAGCTGCAGTAAATAAATGGCAGAATGAAATGCTTAGTGTGATTAGTTTGTATCAGTAATGATATTGCAAATCAGATCCAAAATAAGGTTCCCCACTAGTACAAAGAAAATACCCAGAAAAATAATATTGATCCCTCTCCCAAAAATATTTTTTCCATCTTTTAGTGAATTTATTCATATAGGTCAATATCATATTTATTGTGACAGGCCTGGTACAATCTACAGTTGTGCACATTATGGACTTGTGTTAGAAACATAAGCGTCCAGCTGCAGAGCAGATCGATCCTAGTGGGACGCCGAGTATTTCCTTTTGCAGCTGAGTTTTGGACCTGGGGGAGTCTCCGTCCAACACATTTTTTACCGTCACACCACTACAGTCACAAATGCAGGTCAAAACTATAGGCTTGCGCTGCTCTGTTTTAGCCAAGTCCATAAAATTGTACTGCGACCTTGTGATATAGTCATAATATTAAAAAAATGATTCACTTTTGCAATGGCCAAAGTTCACATCACCAGTCATAACAGAAAAGGGACACACAATTCTTTGGTTTATTTGCATAATTAATTTCCAGTCAGAAATTAAATAAAATGTCTTACCAAATCTGTAGTTTGATCTTTTTTCCTTGTAATTCGACCGTTTTGATCTTGAAATCTATTCCTGAAAGAAAAGAGAAAACATGCGGGTTAATAAGTGTTTGACAAAAGTGAAACCAAAAACAGCTACTGCATGAAAACCGAGCATCTTTGGGAGCCCTGAGGAGAGGCCATACATAATAGTTACCATAACAGTGTTTAAATCACAACCAGGAGCGTATCGTTATATTTAAAGTATGGTGAATCAAACCAAGCAAACCACAAATCTGAGTGCACCAATGTTGTGCCATATTTCATCACCTTTTGCACATTGTCATAGGGTCCCTGGTGACTACTGCTCTAGTCAGTTTAACTTTACACATTTAAGCCTTAGGTTGGGGTAAAAAAAACATTACTGACACATAGGGTACATTAGTTCAAAATAAACATCTAAAATACATGACCTACTTGTAGTTAAACCACAGATCTATGAGAGGGCTGTTGTGACTGTAAAGTATTTAAAATTGTGAGCTGACATGAAACAGTTTAACATGGGTCGAACTGGTCAGGAGGATGTCCAACTAACAGCTGTTCTCTGAGCAGGACCACAGAGAAGTGAAGAGTGACTCACAGAAAAGTGTGAACGCCCCTCGGCCCCAGAGAGAGGGAGGAGTCGCTCACAAGAGGTTTGGGTTATGGATAATATATGATACAGCACATTTAGCCTCAATAGCTCCAATACCCCAAGCTGAGCATTACATCTATGAGATCATATGAAGGGAGGAACTATACGTTTTCATGAAACATGTTGAACTGGTCCATCTAAAAAAAATACATAGTATTTGAATCATTGTTCCCAGTGGTGAGAGGGAACATGCTTTTTCTTGGAGAACTGTCAAGAAAATATGCACATTGTGCAATGGCCCAAGGAGCTGGGAAAGAAATAAGAAGAAACCTTAGGGGAGGATCCGAGGTGCACAAAGGTTATAAGAGCGGTATGGAGAGACATTCTGCTGTTTATTATGATGAACATCCATAATGCAGCTTTTACTTGGTATCACTGAATATTTTTTTAATTTTATACAGCTGCTTTATCTGCCCATTTATTTTGCCAATTTAATCATCTTTATAAATATTGGAATTAGGGATGCACCGATACAATACTGGTATCAGGTAATGACACAGATATTGGGGGAAAAAAACTGGTGGATCGGATATTAGTTTCCAATAATGTATAGCAAGAATTGTATTCTTGCTATAAATTATTTTTTATCCAGCCAACATTTTCATGTAAAAATAATTCATTTTTTACATAATAAAAAGGTAATTGTGTAGAAGAGCAAGTTACAAAGAAATTCCAAATGGAAATACACTCGTATTTCTATTTGGAACACAAATAAAAATCTGTGAGCTCTTTACTTGAGTATATGTCACAGTTTGGTGCCTGTAAGGATGGAGATGTGGGTCTCTCTCCTCATGCACAGAGGAGGAAGAGCCTGGCTCAACACTAGACCATGATGGGCACAGGTCACATGACTGCCTCTGCCAAACTGTGCCATGGCTCTGACTCTGACAGTACAGGGGCAGGAAGGACTGTGGAGGAGAAGACCATGAGGAAGGGCAGGGGGGTTTCCAGGGGGTATTTTCAGAGTCAGCTGCGTGTCTCAGTCTGAACTTATAGCGAGTGTCTCTCCTGTTTCAAATGTCTCAAACTCACAGTTCATTTTTGACCATTATCTTCTGACACAATAATATGTAATAAGGAAAAGCAAAAGAAATTTTAATTCTGTCAACTGAAGATTGTCCACAACTCATCCAAGACTCAGAACTGAAGATGCCTCTTCTCAGAGGCTCGAAAGGAATGGCAAAACATTTTCACTCTAAAACTCTTGTCCAGTTGAGAGAATTTTATTTTATTTTTCTATGGAACCTAACTGGATGACTGAGGAATTACAGACATCAGAGCATATAGGGCTGTGTATGACTTGAGGGTAATCAGCACTGTCACTTTCAATACTGTACTGTACATTCAAGAGCTTAAGTCTTAAGCACATAACTTGATTTACAACAATCACAGCCAGTTCCAAACTGTAAATCTACATTATGACGGACTGACAGACTGCACAGCTTTGTGCCAGAGGATTGGTTATATTCTGAAAACATATGAAGCAGCAGGACAACATATGAAGCAGCAGGACAACACAGTTCTGTGAGACATTTACAGTTAAGGAGAGGCACAAAAATCTAAATCTGTAACACTGTGAAATAAGATTTTTTTGTTATATTGGTTAGTAAAGAGTGAAACAAAACATTTACTTTTGGATACCAAAAACTAAAAGACTGACATATATTGTACCCTCCATAACAAAGCAAGAGTCCCCATATTGTATGGGCCTTCTGGGGGTGAGGGCAAAGACATGACGCAGAGTGTTTTCATGTTGGACACATGAACTTTGTCCTACATTCATTAAACTGTGATTTTCCTAAACATGGGTTCCAAATAGATGTCCCAACACTGTATGACTCATCTTTTTACTCAATTAGCCCACCAGTGTTTTCACAAATGTACTCTCAAAGAGGTGTTTAGGCTTAATAAACAACATTTTATCAAGTGGATTCTCCTAAATTTAACCTCAACATACAAAGTAAAACATGGTCCAATTGAATTAACTTTTACATTAAGGCCACACACCAATTGTAAAATATGTAATGTTTTGATTATTTTAGACCTATGTTTTATCAATGAATCAAGGATTTAAACAGGAGAGATTTAGACCAATGCATTTGTCCTTTCTCAATCAATGGTTCTTATTAAGCAAGTTTTGCTTCTAACTGATGAATTATGGCAAATAAACGGATCTCTATAACAAGATATCAGACAATTAAGTGGAGGCCAAGTTGCACTTCAACCCTCACTTTCTCTTCACTTTCTTGTTTCAGGATACAGCAAGGGGAATTCTTAACTACTAACCTCCTATGGTTTTCTTTGGAGGCTAAGATTTTAGTCTGTGTCATTTCCTCTCATATGATACCAGTGCTGAATGTTCTTGGAAGTGTTGGTGATAATTGAAATCTTCCACTGAAATACCAAGTCACAGTCATCACTATGGCTTGAATGTGATGTGCAATTGAGATAAAGCAGGACATATACAGAGCTGTTATGGATCGCAACAAATCCAAGTAAAAGTGACTGAGAACAAAGCAGTGCTTATGGTGAGCTCTTCCTTACACACAGAGGAGGAGCGGTCACACTACAGATACAACACAACAGGACACAGTCACCAGCATAAATCTAGTCACAGTATTGAGTTACAGCTTTAGTAAAGCACGACATGGCATCTAATGCCTAGTCTTTAATGAACGTGAAGAGTTTACATATTTGACTCACGTGAGCCAATAAAGTGCTGCACATTGAAGAAGCTTTGGATGGACTGTTCAAAGCACAGAAGGTCAATTTGATGCCATAACAACAACTGTAAAACTATTATTGTTCTTATGTAAGTCTTATGATCAGATGGGGGATTTATCATCTGTATACAGTTCAACATTACATCATGTTTGTTATAGTGCAAAACCTCTACTTATTTTTCTACTCAACAAGTAGGCCAGATTACATCCTAGGTTGGCCAACCCATTTTCAGAGGACTTGTCTGAAGAAGATGTACTACTTAACCAAAATACTCACCTGCATATTTTTGTTAACATTTAGTTTGGGCTATTTGATACAGATTGTTATCACAGTTAACGTCCATAACCTCTTAAGGTCCAAATGAAAAGTTAGAATAGTTGCACATTTTGTTTTTAAAAGTTGGTGATTGTGAATAAAAACATAGCACTTAAAAAGATATGGCCTTGAAATATTGCTTGTCATTTACTTCAATCTGCTTCCAGTTTTAAAAGCATAGTGCCATCTGAAAACTTTATTGGCGTAACAGTATGTAATTTGTAACAATGTAAAGAAAGGATGAACTCTGTGTTGGCACAACTGTTAGCTTACTTAGCACTAGCCACTACTAGGTCAATTGGCATGACAGCGTACAATTGTCCGGTAAAACCGGTTAAACTCATTTTAATGAAGTAAAAGTGATAGATCATCGTTGGTGAAGATGCTATTATGGATTTAACACAAAACTGCAGTTGGTCAAGTGTGGCTTTTAGCTTGGTAACCCCGTGGCCCAAATAGCTGTCCAACTTCGGCATTCCGGGCCCTGCAGAGTTAGCCGGAAAGTCCGCGAGTCACCCAGCTGTCAAGGCTAATCAAAGCCGCGTTTAGGGGAAACCAGAGCCAGCTGTGCATGTGGCGTGAGTGCCTTACCTATGGTGGAGATGAAGGTTGTGTTAAAGGCGTCGTCTGAGAAGCGGAACAGCACGCAGGTTTTCCCCACGCCCGAGTCTCCGATCAGCAGCAGCTTGAACAGCAAGTCGTAGGTCTTCTTCGCCATTTGACAAAGCTTGTGTTTCCCCACCCGGACAAATACAAAAAAGAAAAAAATAACCTAACACGCCTATGTGCGGTCTAAAGCCAGCTCCTTTGCCAACAAATCCACTTCTCCCGGACTCTTTATATACTCAACAATCTGGGAATTGTTGATTAGCTTTGGCAAGCTAGTTGGCTAAATACCACCCAAATTACGTGTCCAAACTTGTATCCGAAAGGTTATATTTTCCAATCCGGACTGTTTCCCACAACAGCACAAAAACACAACGCAAAACAAGTCGCTGCTCCCGTGTGATTCTTCTTTTCCACTCTTTCTTTTCTCCCACACAGTCAGGACAAAATGGCTTCTCTCTCAGCCTGGCTCACTCTTTCTTCAAACTAGCGGCGAGCTAATTCAAATTCTCGGCACACCCCGTCATTCCACAGCCCCGTCGCGAACTCGTCCAAGAAGAATCTGAACAAAATCTCAACGTGAGCGTTTGTCAATTTCACTGCCAGTCTGTGGTTATTTCGTTTAATCTGGAAGGATAGCCACGAAAACACAGAGACGACCGCCGTCGCCTTCGAATGGGGGCCTCCACCACGGCGACACCCTAGTCTATAAGCCACGCCCACATCCCGCCTCCTCTGTCAAAATGTACTCTTTTGATTGGTTTACATACCTGTCATGTCAATAGAGAGACTCATCTGATTGGTTTTTCTTACAGGCATCCAGAGGTAAAAGGGCGTGCCTTAGATTGACAGAAAGGGCAAATGTTACTGCGTAAGTTATTCGGACATGCGGGCTCAAATCTCCTTTTGCTTTACTTATAACATTAATCCCAAGATCCAATATGGCGTCTGATCTCGTGTGGATCACTAATAGCAGAAGTGTGTGTCAATTGTAATAGCAAAAGTTGGCATTTGATGTGGTGACTATCCCAGCTGTGAGTCAGGCAAAATGATGTCATAAATATAAGTACTTCTGCCCTTGTGACGGGCGTTTCCCATTTCTCTCTCCTCTGCACTACTCAGAGCGTTTATCCCAGTTTATCCCTTTCTAATGATTGCACACTTTAAGACTCCTATAGCTGTCTTCTGTTACTGTACAGAGCTGTGAAAACTTACAGCCAACTACACTACCCATAGTTGTATATGAATTAATAAATTGAATGCTTCATTATTTATGTATTTATGTATTGATTTATTTATATGTATATTTATATATTTATTTATTACGACTTTGGGTTACTAAAGGGGTTATTAAAGCATTGATAATGTACACATACTTTCAGTTGAAAAAAATGTATACATATAGGGTTGAATTTGTTGTTTGTCCGGCTCCTTCTTCCGTCTGTCAGTGCAGCTTGAGTTTCAGACACTCCTCAGGAATGTAGAGTATGCCTTGTTAGCTTCTGCCAAGTACAGACATGATTTGACAAGAAAAATACAAGAAAGGAAAAAAACGTCAATAAATGCGTGAACCATATTTATATTTATAAAATCAATAAGATATCAATATAAGCATACATTGTGCTCTATTTTAAAATTCTAAACACCACAACATATGAGTCTTGTCAACAGAATAATAAAATTATTAAGAGAATTATGTAAAAGACAACAAACATGTCAATGACAGGATGTGTGCAGGATTAGATACAATATTACTCCAGTTACAAATAAAGACCTGCATGCAATGAAACTGAGCCAGCTTTTATAAAGTCACATCAGTGTCCTCCCAAACTCAAGGGTATTTGCAAAGTAATATATCAAGGCTTTACACATTCCAGCACCAGGCCACAAAATTTGGCTCTCAGAACCCATTCTTTCTTTCTTTTCTTTTTTTTTTCTTTTTCAGAACATCAGGGTAAATTAACATTCACAAATGTATATGCACTGTCTATCTAAAAGCACATTTCAACTAAGAATGCAATAAAACACAATCAAGTTGTAAAAATACCTAGTTTTCTGGCAGTAAATTGGAGCACATTCTCGCACCAGTGTCGCAAAAGGACCAGAAAAAACGAAACTTACAAACAAACCAATTATCAATTATCAATTATCAATTAGACTGGCTGTTATAGCTTGTTTCAGCCACAAGGTGGTGCTGCTGTAGCTCATTGGAGCCTAAAGCAGAAGAGAAAATAACCACCAACAACCTGCTTATTTTTCAATTTAGACATAATACGCCCTTCTTTTCTCTACCCAGCTTTGGACAGAGGCTCATCTAGGCCTATAAATTTTGCATGTTTATTCAACATACTTGGGACAAAATATATACATCCATTTCTTGACTTCACCAGAGCTAAACATCGCGTACACTCTTTTAATGAATGTATGTCAAATATCAATTCATTAAACTTAAGTGAAATAAATGGGAGAGAGATTTACTAGTGCAATATAGGCCAATATGCTAACAATCTTAATTAGCCTATATTTGAGGAAACTACATTTCCCATGATGCTTCGTGCGCCACCGCAGTGATGTGGGGTGTGGTGTTGAAATGACTGGAGTGTATCCCGCACCGGAGCCTGTAAAAGGCGAGACAGACGGCAGAAAGATGCGGACAGGGCTGTGTGGCGGATCTTCTGGACGTGTTACATCTGGATGATACATTTAATTCATTTTTACCGCTGTCATCCTCAGGAATGATTGTTTTTTACCGAAATCACAGCGGGGACGTTTGGCGGGACTACAATGAAGCGTCGATCCTGTGCGTGAGATAATCTGGCTGTTTGTCTATAAAGCTAATATTACACATAATTAGCTATTGGCAACTGGAACATAGCTTATATTTTTGGTCTATGTTGTAACATTTTATGGTGGATGTCGCATTTTCCCTGCGATATGACATAGAAAACATGAAGATCTTCTGAGTCATTTTAAAACCATCCACTTTTAAAAGGAAACGGGAATATTATTGACCCAAGATCGGAGGGTATAGCTCTTCGTCCATTTTAATCATCAGTAAGGATTTTTGGAGACACAAACAATCATGTCTAAAAATAAGAGCAGTGAATGTGTGAAGGTGGTAGTACGATGCCGGCCTTTGAACCGAAAAGAAGAGTCCAATGGGCCTGCGGGGGGGATTGTTCAAATGGATTTGAAGTTGGGGCAGGTCATCCTCAGAAACCCCCGTGCGCCCCCCAGTGAACCCCTAAAAACATTCACATTTGACGCTGTTTACGACGCCAACTCCAAACAACGAGATCTTTATGACGAGAGCGTTAGGCCTTTAATAGATTCTGTTCTTGATGGGTTTAATGGCACAATTTTTGCCTATGGCCAAACCGGGACTGGTAAGACTTATACCATGCAAGGGGCATGGATGGACCCTGAAAAAAGAGGTGTGATCCCAAATGCTTTTGACCATATCTTCACCCACATTTCACGCTCTCAATCAGACAAGCAGTATCTAGTGCGGGCATCCTACTTGGAGATCTACCTTGAGGAGATCCGGGACCTTCTAGATCCAAACCATGCAAATACAAGATTGGAGCTAAGGGAAAGTCCTGAGACTGGAGTATATGTTCGAGATCTTACGTCTTGTGTTTGCAAAAGCATCAAGGAAATAGAAGAAGTCATGAATATGGGGAACCAAGCAAGGGCAGTCGGAGCAACAGACATGAATGAGCATTCTTCGAGATCCCATGCGTTATTTTTGATCACAGTGGAGTGTAGCCAACCTGGGCCAGATGGAAGAAAGCATATCCGGGTAGGACGCTTAAATTTGGTGGATTTAGCTGGAAGTGAACGACAAGCCAAGACAGGAGTGCATGGAGAGCGCCTGAAAGAAGCAGCTAAGATCAACTTATCACTATCTGCCCTAGGTAATGTAATTTCAGCTTTGGCCGATGGTAGAAGTGGACATGTACCATACCGGGATTCAAAATTAACTAGACTCCTACAAGACTCTTTAGGTGGTAATGCCAAAACGGTCATGGTTGCTACCTTAGGTCCAGCTCCTCAACACTACGACGAAACACTGACCACTTTAAGGTACGCTAATCGGGCCAAGAACATCCATAACCAACCTCGAGTCAATGAAGATCCCAAAGATGCCCTTTTGAGAGAATTTCAGAAGGAAATTGCAAGGCTGAGGGCGCAGCTCAACCACAGGAAGTGGAGAAACAAACAGAAGAAAGATGGAGATGTTTGGGACAGGGATGGTGAAGAGGATACAGCGGGAGAGGAAGACTTTGAGGAGAAAGATGCAGAGGATTATGTGACACTGGAGGAGCAGAGGCTGGAACTGGAGAAGGAAGCCATCAGAGGAGATCAATTCCTATTGGCCGAGGAGAAGCAGAGGCTCCTGGGAGAGAAGGAGAGGATGATGGGAGATCTGAGGAAGGAGCAAGAGGCCACGGAGCAGCTCACAGCCAAATACAAGGTGAGAACAAATGCTGAAGCAGACAGCATAATGGTCCCTGTTAATTATAATAGTCTATACAATCACACACATTCCCCTCATCACTATTGACGACCTTGACAATTATGCACAAATTGGGTATAAAAATTGATTAACCAAATTTTATAATTTTCATCACAACATACAGTCACTTACTGACACAGATTTATCTGAGCAACAATGGGCACGATTGCTCTCACACCACTCCTCACAAGACTGTGAACACCCACAGGACAAGTTGATGCCTTTGAGCTTTGATGCCATAAGTCAAAAATAGATCAAATTAGTGATACATTTTCTTTAGAAATTCAGAACCTGGCTACAAATGTGATACTGAAAACTCTTAAGTTATGACCATAAACTGTCTATTTCATACATTTTAGGGGATTCATTTGGTTCATCATGGTTAATCTATCTCACAATGCTTAGGGTCGTAAGCAATATCAGCAATAATACTCTAATAAAAATATGATTTATTAACAAAAAACAGAAGACCAGTTGTGAATTTGGGTCTCTTTTACAACAGTGCCCTGTATACATGCAAAACAATTATAATGACAATTAATATTAAAACAGTGAAATAAAATATAATATAAACATGAAGCCTTCATCAATGAATAAAATGCAATAACATTTAGAATATGAAACCACAAACCACAGCCACACTGGTCATTTAAAGTGGAATTTAAAAGAAATGTAAAATGTTCTACAGATTCTACCAAGTACTCTTTAGCAATGTTTGCAATTTGTCCCATCTGTATGGCCCATAGTAATTAAAGGCACTAGTAAAAAGGCAGTTTCAGTATAAGTTGAATCATGCTGCACAGTGCCCACTCATAACCAAGACATTACTGTACTCTGTCTTTTTAATCAGTGCCAGGCATCTAGGAGTTGACAGACTTTAGTTAATTTCTAAAACAATGAAATAGTGCTCATTGTGTCATAATTAAAACCTCCCTAAAGGGTTATTTTATAAAACTAAATCTAGGTGGATTTTAAGGGCTCTCATAGATCAGACACAGTTTTGCACGTAAACGTAACTGGATGAAGAAACTAGTCTAGACATAACGGGCCTACAGGGGGTTGCATTTTCAAAAGAATATGGCCAACATAATGCATTCAAATTGCTAACAATTCAATGTGCAATTTTAGTTTGCAATTATTTTGATATAGGATGTCCTCTACAAAGAACAAAATATCTTTTACTCTTATAATCTTGTAGTTTAAACATCTTTATTTAAGTCCTCTTGTTTACAATGTGCACTCTGTAGAATACTACTTTTTGAACACATATCACAAATCTAATTACAGTAAAAATTACAATCAGATTTTTTTAACCAAAATCGTGCAGCTGTAGCAATCAAAGTTTATGTTTGATATTTTATAGAAGAAGTTAGAGGCCAGATGATTTGGATATACTTGCAGAGGTGTTGAATAAGGTGGATGGTGAATGCTCTCCTCCTCTCAGCATCTGTATTTCAGATGTTCACCACCTGCAGAATATTCTTTGTGATCTCATGCTGACAAGGAGCTGTGACCACTGGAGTCTAAAATGCCACTTCTTCGTTCCTGGCCCACACCATCACACGTCAGCCCATAAAATCGTGAGTCAGGCCTGGTTTAATCACTTGCTCTGATTCACGGTCCACTCAATAAGTCACTCGTGCAGAAAGACCGCAGCCTATAACTTCAGAGCTGGACCAGAATGAAACTGGACTGGGATAGTGAGCAGCAAACGGCCTCAGGGTTTCATAAGAGGAGAGACATGAAGAGAATACGACACATCTTTGGGAACAATGGTGATCGCCTAAAGGAAATAACTCATTGTGTGTAATTTTAGCAGCAGGGGCCACTTTTTATTGTACAGTTTAGATGTTTTGAAGCGAGACATTGGCCAGTTAAAGTATTTTGATAGTGCAGTAGTAAGTGATTAATGCTTAAAAACAACAAGGCAGCTGATTAAAACAACATATCAATATTGTCACTATTGGCGCTGACACCTGAACCATGCTGCCACCCTACTTCTTCACTTAGATCTGTGCTGTCATCATTGTCTTTTCTGCTTAGGGATGATCCAATATTTATTTTTCTTTAATATTTTCTTGGTAGTTGCCTTGTTGTTGTGGCTGATAATAACCAATATTTGCTTTTAAAATCAATAGTAAGGACTGTAAATCTCAGTAGTCTGTTCAAAAAGACACATATCGTGCACCCAAACTCACAGACAGACAAGGGGAAAATACTGCCAAATATTGCATAAAAATCCAATATTGAATGATGGGAGGAAAAATAAAACTCAGATTTTACAGATACCAATATTATCACCAGTGCATCAACCATCTGTAGTTCTGCTTTCAACTTTTAAGAACAATGGCCAGGCCTCAGAGATTAAGACATAAGCAAGAGCAAGATGGCTGTTTGTATTATATATTCTTCAAAGTTGCTGAATCGGCTGTGTTGTATTACTTCCAGTTGAAAATGGCCGTCTAAGCATCTTTTCTCTCCTACACTTCCTCTCTGGGAGCTGGTTTCAGGTCAAAGAAAAGTCCCATGAGGAGATAATAATGTGCGTATGTCCTGCAGACTGAGAGATATGTCCTGTGTCTGTGGTGATGGGGCATAGTTCAGGTTTCGTCTCCTCAGTGTTTTCCGAAGTTTTGGGGGTCAAAACTGTGAGAAGTCATTTATTTCTTTTATGCTGAAGGACCATCATAAAGGGACATTATGTTTGATTTGACATAATTCCAAAAAATCTTAAAGCACTGTGAGAGAGTGTATGTTGTATAAAATAAGAGATAATTACAGATTATGGACAAATGTAATAATATGATAAGAATATTTTTACTTGTTAACCTGGCTGTACACTGAATATGGCAGCTCTGTCTGCAAAACAATGAAATAAGCAGGGCAAATTGTCCTCAATAATGAAGCAATATGAATCTTACTATTATAAAATTAAAACGTACAAATCATGCTTTTATACCCTTTTCCACCTTCACTCTGAGACCCCAGCCTCTATGGCATCCCTTTGTACTGTCTAATATAAAGCAGCCAATCACAGCCAACGACCTACAGGCACCATTTTTCTCTGTTGCACTCTCAGCCAATGACAGTGAGGTTGCTAAGGATGAAGGCAGCTGGGCACATTGACAGAAAGATGGAGGGAGAGTAGACGGGTGCAGTGGTAAATGCCAGTGGGGATGAATTTTAATGTCAGATAAAAGCTAATTCAAAAGCTGCTGACTCTATCTGAATTTTCTTATCCTTGTCATCCACTGAAGTTTAAATAGGTCTTAAAATCATATTGTCACATCAGTGTTACTTTGGTGAGTTAGTCTGTGTTTTTTGTTGTGTTTATTTTCACCAGCCACCTACATCTGATTAAGCATTGTGTATTAATGTAAAACAACACTTCCTAACCACAAATACTATGAAATTAAAATCATACCTGATCATTTTATGAATTATTGAAATTTTCAAATGTGGGAATGCCTCTTGTTAGACTTGGATGTCAGTGACTTCACAGCATCACACCCTTGTTCTCTTGTAACCTTAGCTGCCATATTGCATTGAGGGTAAACTGCAGTCTCACATCAGGCCTCCAGTCCTTACAGCTGCTTTGTAATCGGTTTGACATTTGCTGGAAACGGACACTCTTGTAAAGCAGCACTAATGTAATCAAGGGCTGTGACCGGAGCACAGATAAAAGCAGTCTAAATTAGTTTATCTGGAAAGGTGTAGTGATGTTTCATTTAAGTGCAGCTCAACTAGGCAGAGTGGACTCAAAATACTTCCATAAATGATGTGTCATGTTAAAATGTTTGATATAAATTTGATCGTCAGAGCCATAGTGTACTAAGTCTGATCAATTTAGGAAAAAAAATTTAGCAAAATTTGGTATTTATGAAAAAAAAAATCAAATAAAGATTAATTACACAGTACACATTTTAAATCTTTCCAGAATTACTCTCTGAGAAGACAAACTTCTGACTTCTGAGTTAGCTGTTTCATTCATATCACATTCTATCACTTATATTTATTACCAAAAAAATGGGGGATTTCTATGTTTTTTTTTGGTTTGTTATTCTACTAGATAGCTTTTTATGTTGTAGTTGTATATTGTGAACCACTGAACATGTTCAAGTGTACATATGATGGGTGGGTGACTACTGATAGTTAGACATCCTCTCAACAAGGATTTTTTTTTAACTTCTATTCATTGTGTTTACGAATACAAAATACAAGGACCATTTTTGTTGGTAAAGGCACCCTCACCCCTACAATGAATGAATAAACATGAAATTTGCAGTACCACGCATCTATAATTTATGTTAAAACAAACTGTTATGTTAATTTTGGAGATCACCCGAAAGCCACACTAGCCAACTTAAATTTAGCTTCTCATTTGGAGTCTCCTCACCTGACTGCACATGCCGCTGCAGTGTATCAGCGGCTTGGGGGGAGGGGCACTTCATGGTCTACCATTCAAACCAGAAGGACACCAAATCATAGTGCAGTCTGAAGTCGGCATTGATTATTGCCTGAGGTCCTCCCTTTTTCCCATGGCAGTTTTTAGTGAGTTATTATACCCAAATGGAGGGTTCTCATATGCTGTTTAGTAATTTGAGGAATCTTTTAAACCATGTATTCAAGCTAAAAAATATATAATTGCTATTTTTCTGAAAAGCAGAGATTGCTCACATTTTAAACACATCCAGCAACATAACAAAATTTAGACTTACATGTGAACTGTTGAGTTAATAGAAGAATCACATGTTTTCCATAACATGTTTGCAGAGGTTTAAAGTGAAGAATTAGCACATTTTATTTAAGTAGACCGGATATTTTGTTGTTATCATGTACAGAAGAAATGATGTCACTTAAATAATAAATTGCGACCACTCTATTTGCGATTTCAATTATGTTATGATATACAAGTATCTTGAAGCTCAACAATGTATTAAAACCACATGAAAAACCAT